GATCTAAACCCAGGCCGCCAGTAGCGGAGCATGTGCACTTAACCACTAAGCCACGGGGCCAGACTCCCAGCCTCCCTTAATCTTAATCTCACAAATAACTGCTTTATAATACTAACTTAGAGGTCATTTCTTACCAAGTAGAAGATATTAATTTCATTTCCAATGTCCTCAGTAGAATTAATAACTTCAGGGACTGTCTCATTGGCCGCAATTAAAATATGATATTCACTTGCAGAGCTTAAAAGAATTAATTGGAAGAAGAGAAAACACAACAAAGTTCAACTTTTATTTGGCCTCATTCTTTGTCTTTCTTCATACTAGGTAATCCCACAAAAAATACTTAGAGATTTCAAATTAGAGGCAAATTCTTTTATCCTGAAACCTAAAATTGAATTTTTGAAGAGGGTGAGAAGAATTATATAACTTAGTTCAATAGTAACTGATGTTTATATGGCTTTAAAATGCTAAAATATGTAGAGCTTTTCAAATAAAAATTTCTTTGTTGTCAAGTGAAAAGTTTCCATGAATTCACTAATATAATTTACATGTAGTGAATAATAAGGCTAAAATTTGGTAATTTTAGTAGTGCTGAATTTTAAATAGATTTTTAAAAATTGTTACTTTTTCACTATTTAAAGTCTTATATTTACTGCTAAACTTAAAATTCACTTTCTTCCATACAACTTCTCCATGTTCTTTGGATATACTTGGTAGAATGAAATATAATATAAAAACATTTTTAAAGAGCACTTCAGTTAAGAGAAGATAAAAAATATTTATGTTTGCCAAAATTTGATTTTAAGTAAATGAAAAATTCTTGGGAAAAGTCAGTGTACCAAGAGAAGTAGATACAGCAAAATAGAAAACAGTCAATGGAATTTAAAGGCTAAGAAATATAAGCAAAATTTACATGTACATCCTATAATCCTCTCATTTTTGTGGTCTGTGAGTAAAAGGAAAGTGCCATAGAAAATAAACTAATAAAATGACAAGACTTTTAAACTAAGTTTTAAACTAAACTTGCCACTGATTCTTGTACTTTTTGTATACATTGTGCATATTTATTTAGCAAAAGCTTGGAGTTCTGCTTAAGCAAGGGAATTTATAGTGAGAAAGTCTGCCAACGTGACTGGTGTTTGGATAGATCAGAAGTTCTTAGGAGAAAGGATGGTTTGTGAATAATGGAAGAAATAAATAACTCTTGTCAATGAGAAATGATTTAATCTTATGTGTACAGAATGGGCAGGCTAATCAAATCTCACACAAAAAGAGTGAGAGCCAAGAAGTATGCTGGTGACCTCTAAGAATACTGCCTTTTTGTGTGTGTCTGAGGAAGATTAGCCCTGAGCTAACATCTGTGCCCATCTTCCTCTATTTTGTATGTGGGAGGCCGCCACAGCATGGCTTGATGAGCAGTGCATGTGTCCGTGCCCAGGATCTGAACCTGCGAACCCTGGGCCACCAAAGTGGAGGGCGCAAACTTAACCACTACGCCACTGGGCCAGCCCCTAAGAAAATTGCCTTTTGCAAAGGATTTCTGGGTCTTCAGCTTGCATTTAGGAGATAAGACTGGACTGCATTAGCAGTCCAGTATCATTAGCACCTCATATTTTAGATTATTTAGTTTGCTGTTTCTCAAACTTTAGAGGGCATCAGAATTACCTGTAGGGCTTAACACAGATTTCTTGGCCCCACCCCTAGAGTTTCTGATTTAGTAGGTCTGGGGTGGGGCCTGAGAATTTGCCTCTCCAACAAGTTCCCAGGTGATTCTGACACCCTTGGCCAGGGGCCACACTTTGAGAACCACTGGGTTAGTAAAAAGGCATCATAAACATAAAAATGCAGTTTCCTCCTACCTGTAAAACTGTAGTCCAACTTCATATTTTACTGGCATAGAAATGTTTACTTCATTGTCAAAAAGGGCTTCAGGAGGTTCTTCACTGTCACTAGAAAATACACAGCACATTCAGACAAATCACTAAACCATTGACTACTTAGAGACATTTCTGAGCGTTTGAAAGAGAAGCTTATCTTGGCAACTAAATAAAAGCACAGAGCACAATTCTTGATTTTTTTGTTTTTTTAAATCAGGGTAGGGAGGGAGGTCAGAGATGGGTATTGTTAAATTACCTAAGTTGATTCTGAAGTGCAGCTAGGGTTGAAACATTACACTGATTTAGTCCAAGGTTTCTCCCACTTCTATGAGGATAATGATAAGTATCCTTGGGTCAATTGTTAAATACACAGATTACTGGGCTTCTCCACTAGAAATATGGATTTAGTAGGTCTGAGTTGGGGCCCAGGAATTTGTGTTTGTTACACAAATCACACAGGTGATTCTTATTTGTTTATCACAGATGAGGACCTTGTAAAGAGATGTGACTAGGATCACGCAGCTGAGAGTAAGTCTAAAATCTTCTGTCTTAATAGTTTTTCCATGCTAAGTACTTGATGCTTATATTATTTGTTAACAATAACATGCTTATATTGTTATATATTTGTTGATGCTTATATTACTTGTCAGCTCTTATTTGTTGCCCTGATTTTAGTTATCATGTCAATTATATATTATGTAAATACATGCACATATGTTTATACACACATATACACATACACGTCTCTCATACTCCCTGTATTAAAAAAAAACACGTACAAGTGATACAACAGTTACCAACTCTGGCTCAGGGCCAGAGCGCATGGGATTGTTCTGGAATATTAACACACTTTGGGCAAGTTATGTGCCTTGGTTCCTTCATCTATAAAATGGGAATGTTATCATTAAATGATTAATAAATGATGATTAAATGAGTAATAAGTATAAAGTGCTTAACACTATGCCTAAGACATAGGAAATACTTAGCAAGTTTAGCTTTCATTATTACTATCACACACATCCCTCTACCAAGTGACCAAGTGCCTAGCATTTTGTCTCACAGAATGGGCAATGAGTACCTTTTAACAGCTCTACTCGTTCCCAAGTGTATTAAGTGGCTTGGTATGAGGGATGGGGCAGTGAAGGCAACCCCCTGCTTGAGCTATAGATACTTGTATGATGGGGCTTTTGCTTTGAATGGTCCCCTTCTCTCCCACCCATTCCACACTGCAGCCAAATGAATCTTCCTAAGAAGCTGCTCTTGTACATATGACTTAACCCCTCAAAAACTTTCCTGGCTCCTCATAGCCTGTTTAATTGAGAAAAATTGCCTCATTCTGACATTTAATATGCCCCATAACATGGTAGGACACACACTCCCTGGTTATCTTCCCTCACTCCTTCATGTATTCTCTATATTTGAGCTAAAATGGATTACCCAATACACTATTCCCCCAAAGAGATCTAGTGGTCTACCTTTGAGTTTTTCCTCAAGCTGTATGTTTTGCCTGAAATGCTCCACCTAACTCTATCCACTGACCTCTCTGTTTGTGAACTGCTACCCATCCTTCAAGGTCCTTCTCAATTATAATCTCCTTGATAAAGCTTCCTTAGGTTCTCATTGTCACATACATATAATTTCACCCCCCATTAAGTCTCTGACACATGGTTTATATTTCTCTAATGAATTTTCCTTGTTCTACCTTGTATTACAATAATTTATATACTAGTCTCAGCCCTCTACTGTACTATTCGCCCCACGAGAAGATTCATGCCCTTATTAATTTTTATATTCCCTGCAGTGACTAATTCAATACCCTGTCCATAGCAGATGTCAAATAAATAGCTGCTGAGTTGAACTGAATTGAGCATACAGAATTAACTTATTAGATGGAGGCACCATGCTAATTACTGGGGAATACAGCAACAAAAGATAGACTTTTATCTCAAGGAACTTATGGTCCAGTGGATAATTACACTTATAAGAAAGTTAAGCCACTATTTCAATTTCCTTACTAGCCTTTTACTATAAGTGTGTGTGTTCTATGATATATTTCAGAAGCTTTGAGTGATTTGGGTAAAATTTATGAAACAACAACAGGGTATCATAAAACTTTAAGTCTGTCTAATGATTCAGTTGACCTTGATGGGCAGGAAGTAAAGTTTTTAAATTAGCAAAGCCTGTAAAACTTTAAGTGAATTTAAATGCAATTTGGCAAATAAAAGTGATGTGTGATTTCATGTTTTATGTCTCATAGAACCAATGGTTTAATCCAGTTAGGTGTATTATTTCTATTAAATGAAAATTTCTTTATTTTGCTAATTATTCATAAGGATGTTTTTACGAAGCAAAGGGGTTCATTGCCCTCTACTTCTACTGATCCCATAAAAGCTACAAGAAGTTCCAGTGAGTCTATAAAGCAAAATATTCTAAAGACATGAAAGAAATTATATACACACATACACACACACTCATGCGCACAAATGAACCAACCTTGTTGCACTTAAATGAATGAACACATTTTCCATGAGATAAGATGTGTTAAACTGAAATAATATTTTGAAAGTTACCTATGAAATAAAAATATCTTTAGTGACAAAGTAGAATTTTTACTTTGATTGAAATATTCAATTACTTAAATGATATTACCTAAACTCAAATTACAAAGTTATTTAAGAAATATTCTTATAAAATAAAACTTCATCACAACTCAAAAATAGATGGAATAAGATAGGATATACACATGCTTTTAAACGTGAATATGTAATATGCTTTGCATGTTAATACTGAATTTAAAGACTTCATTCAAATTATATTAGTAAAAATCATTTATACTAACCATAAACCATTACCATGAAGGTACATCCTATTCTTTAATTATATTACCATAGTCTATCAGATCACAGTGATGAACAATGTAATTATGAAATGGTCATAATTAAAGCCTCTTTAATATGAAAACTTCAAGTACCAGCAACCATCTGTACATATTCATTACAAAATAGGGGAAAACATACTTGGTTCCATTAATTTGATAATATAAAAAAAGTTTTGGACCTTTAAGGAATAACAAAAACAAAATAAAACAAATAGGCTTGGCTGTTTAGAATAAACTATAATAATAATAATAAAAGCAGTGAGTTTTGTTTACAAATTGAATAGTAAAAATAATACCTAAGAAAAACTGGACAGTGTTATAGTAACAGTGTTATACTGACACTCTGATATAAGTAACTTACTTTTGAGAAACTATACATGAGCATATGAATTATATAATTCAGGACTCTTCCTAACCACTGACAGGCAGAGCAAAAACTAGATTATTTGTTTGAAGAAATATGTCCTCAGCATAGTTCTAGTCCAAGAGTTCTCAGAATAATGCTTAGAAAACTGTATTTCCCATTCTCAAAACTAATCCTAATTTGTGCTAAGGTGTTTCGGAATTTGGCTAGCAAAATAGATAGTCCAAAATGCACAATTAACAGAAACTACCTAAAATTTTATCTTTGTGATTAAGTACTAGAGAGGACACAGTTTGATATTAAAAGCTCTTTTAACCAATTTAGGCACCATTCATAGAAGGGATGACTAGAATTCACAGGTCATGAGATTTGCATGGTTGTACCATATTAGCGTGAAGTGTTTTTTTTGTATTTTCTTCTCCCACATATATTTTGAATTACATTAAAAAACATATTTCTTCTAAGAATCTGTAGCTCTATAGTTTTTTTCTCGCTTTGAAATAGTAATCGCAATTCCAGTAGAAGCTTTACTGGGTGGGCTTTAACTACAATACAACAAAGGTCAAAATGCCAGAGTCTCTTAGTGAGGTCCTTCCTTCCTGACTTTCTTTAGCCCTCTGACTGGCCTGTTCATAAAAGTCTTCCCATTTCTGATGCGTCTTCAGATATAGGGAAGATACTAGCAGAGAAGTGGCTGAAGAAGGTGCCTATTGCATATTGACCTGATCCTGAAATGCTTAAACTATAAATCTAGATCTTGAAACCAAAGTATATTCTAAGTGTAAAGCCCATGTAAAAATTACTTGCAAATTATCTTCCCATTTCTCTATTGAGGACATGAGACACTTTGATTTAAGCTTTTACCTAAGCAGCAAGGAACTGCTAAAGAGAGGAAGAAATGGTTAAGAAATGATTAAGATTGCAATTAATTTCTCCAATGACTGGAATATAACATGGAGTATGTCATTACTCATTAAGAAATGGAGATAATTTCATGATTAACTAAAGTGGTCAAAGGAAGGAGTAGACATGAGTTGACACTCCTTATTTCCATGTCAAATTAGAGGAATCATGGGTATATTTTTTCAAATGTGATGTGTGATTTACAGATTTGTAGGGAAGAAATGCAAATTGGGGTAGTCAAGAAATAGACTTTATGATGAGGTTCCAAAAGTAAAATGGCACATTTAGTTAGTTCCATAAGCAAAAATGGACATAGAAGAGATTCATTGAATTTAATGATAATTACTGTGATTCGTAGTTAGTTTGCTGGATCACTGGTAACCATGCTACATGTGTTAACAGCAAAGTCCTTTTTGAATTCTCATTTGCAAAAAGAAGAGCTAAAAGATTTCATTACAGATATGTGACTCTGCCATTTCCAGATGTCCAACCCAGTGTTTATCAACTTTTAGGATGTGTGTTAAAGATGACAGGGATCTATTTTGAAGTCTTATATTATAAAACATAATGTGAGAAAGTTGAAATAAATACGGGGAATAGTATTTCTCTTTTTTTGTTTAAATCTAAGTTAAGTAAGTAAAGTATCTTCCTATCTTCATCATTTTGATTAACTAAGTATTTCCTTTCTTAACTCAATAGTGACAGAGGAGCCAATATTCTTACCAGAAAGCAACCTTCAATGAAAATATATGTAAATACCTTGCTTATCATTGAGATAATTATTCTCTGCTTTTCAAGGAAACCAATATTGTCTTTATACAGAGATGAAAGCACTTTCCTCATTCCTATTTAACTGCTACTGTAGGTTCTAGCCAGGGCAATTGGGTAAGAATAAGAAATAAAAGGCATTGGATTGGAAAGGATGCCTCTATTTGCAGATGACATGATCTTGTATATGGAATATCCTAAGGAATCTTCTAAAAAACTGTTAGAACTAATAAATAATTTCAGCAAGTTTGCAGAGTAAAAAATCAATATTCAAAAATCAATTGTATTTCTATGCATTAGCAATAAACAATTTGAAGATAAATTTAAGAAAAGAATTCCATCTAAAAAAGCATCAAAAAGAATAAAATGCTTAGCAATAAATTTAACAAAGGAAGTGCAAAACTTGTATTCTAAAAACTATAAAACATTTTTGAAAGTAATTAAAGAAGATCTAAATAAATGGAAAGACATCCCATGGTCATGGATCAGAGACTTAATATTTTTAAGATGGTAACACTCCTCAAATTGATCGACAGATTCAACGTAATCCCTATCAAACTCCTAGCTGAGTTTTTTGCAGAAAATGAGAAGCTTATCCTAAAATACAAAAGGGAATGCAAGAGACCTGGAATAGTCAAACAATTGTGAAAAGGAAAACACAGCTGGAAGACTTAATATTTCCTGATTTCAAAACTTACAAAAAAGCTACAGTAACCAAAACAGTGTGGTACTGGCATAACGGTAGACACATAGATCAATGGAATACAAGTAAGAGTCAAGAAATAAACCCATATGTTTACGGTCAACTGACTTTCAACAAGAGTGCCAAGACAATTCAATGGGGGAATGAACAGTCTTTTCAACAAATGGTGTGGGACAACTGGATATCCACACACAAAGAATAAAGATGGACTCTTTCCTTACACCAGATACAAAAGTTCATCACAATGAATCACAGACCTAAATGTGCAAGCTAACACCATAAAGCTCTTGGAAGAAAATATAGGAGTAAATCTTCTTGATCTTAGGTTGGGCAAAGCCTTCCTAGATATGACGCCAAAGCACCAGTGACAAAAGAATAAATAGAAAAATGGGACTTCATCAAAGTAAAAACTTTTGTGCTTCAAAGAACACCACCAAGAAAGTGAAAAGACAACTTAGACAATAAGAGAAAATATTTGCAAATCATATATATGATAAGGGACTTGAATGTAGAATATATGAAGAGCTCTTACAACTCAATAATAAAAAACATACCCCAATTAAAAAATAGCTAAAGGATCTGAATAGACATTTCTCCAAAGAAGACATACACATGGTCAATAAACACATGAAAAGATGTTCAACATCATTAGATATTAGGGAAATGCAAATCAGAACTACAATGAGATACTACTTCACATCCACTAGGATGGCTAATCAAAAAGACAGGCAACAACAATGTGGAGAAATTGGAATCCTCACACATTGCTGGTAGAAATGTAAAATGGTGCAGCCACCTTGGAAAACAGTTTTGCAGTTCTCCAAAATGTTATACATAGTTACCATACAACCCAGCAATTAAACCCCAAGAGAACTGAAAACACATGTCCACCAAGAACCTGTACACAAATATTCATAGCAGTATTATTCATAGTAGCCAAAAAGTGGAAACAACCCAAAAGCCCATCAACTGATGAAGGAATAAATAAAATGTGATCTATCCACACAATGGATTATTATTTGGAAATAAAAAGGAATGAACTACTGATACACGGAAAAACCTTGAAAACATTATCCTAGGTGAAAGAAGCCAGTCACAAAAGACCACATATTGTACGATTCCATTTATATGAAATGTCCAGAACAGGCAAATCCATAGAGACAGAAAGTAGATTAGTGGTTGTCTGGGGGTGGAGAAGGGGTTGTTGAGGAAAAAAAAAGAGAAGTAACTGATAATGTGTACTGGGTTTCTTTTTGGGATGTGAAAATGTTCTAAGATTGATTGTGGTAACAGTTGTTCAATTCTCAATATGGTGAATATACTAAAACTCATTGAATTGTACACTTTGAGTGAATTTTATAGGATGTGAATTATATCTCAAGGAGGATATTATTTTTAAAAAAGAAAGAAATGAAAAGAGTTTCTATACAAAGGTCTAAACCCACCTGTTTGAAAGATTCTTTTTCCTACAGGCCAGAAAAGCCTACTACAGAGGAGACTCCAAAACCAGAATTTCCCAGCTCCATTTTATCAGATAAGTCATCTAGTATACAGTTTAAATTTTATCTTGGTGTTTAAGTTTGACTCATGCAATAATTAGCTTTTTATTCTAAGATCTCAAAATTTTGAACTCAACCTTCTTCATCTACGTCACCTAAACTACCATTAGAAGGATTTACGTATTTGACTTTGAGCATATTATTTTTCATATCCAGTTGCCAAATGTATGTTGTATAATCAGCGTACCCCTTCTCCTCTTCTTAGGAACGGATATCCAACTTTACATGTGATATTATGATTGGATTCACAACTGTCTTTTTGGATAGCCTAGGGAGAGAAAACAAACAGATTTAGAGCAGACATGCAGGTGAAATACTTGAGCTTGGTTTTCTAGAATTTTTCCAGCTGTGCCTTAGACTCTGCCTTGCTAAGATTTGTTGGGAGAGTCTCAGCACTCTGGGATCACTTGTCCCACAGCCTACGGGAAATCTGAAAACAACACTTGAGTTAGAGGGGACTGAAGGACACAGCACTTGCACTGTAGAATGGAAGTACTAACAGCACCTACCTCACAGCGGGATTAGGTGGCTGAACAAAATAACCCACACGTATTGGACTGCCACATGAAGCCCACAGGGAATGGCAGTCATTAGAAGAGTTTAGTGCAGTGGGTAAGAGACTGGGCTCTGAACTGGGACCACCAGGATTTAAATCCTGACTCCACCACTGTTAGCTTTTTCCTTGTCAAAACTCCTTACTTCTCTGGACCTGATTTTCTGTCAAGTGAGGTTAGTCATACTCTATTTCATCAATTGAATATGCCATTGAATATGAGCCTCACCACTATTTTACATACCAATAAGAAGGAAAAAATAATGCTGCCAGTTAAATAAACACATCAATTATAAAATGCAATTACAGAAGTGTTAAAATGTGAAAAAAATGGTTTATCTTAGAATCTCTGTGGTACAGTAACATCTACTTACAAAAGAATTAATCAGAATTAAATAAGTGGAGCTCATAGAACAGGGCCTGGCACATAATATGACTCAAGAAAAGACCACCATTATTCTTATTGTTGTCACTGTGAACAGAAGTAGAGGAGATGCATTGCTGACTTTACAGTTCTGCCTCTCTGCCAAGGCCATGAAGTCAGTGGAAGAGGACACAGGGAATGATTTTTAATATATCCCCTTTCCAGAGAAAAATTCAGTGCTAATATTTTCCCAGCATCACTTTGCACATTTGGATTTATAATTAACATTCTTTACTGAATCTAAAATATGTGGCAATAATAAAGGAGATTTTTAAAGCCTATCTTAGCCATTGTGTCTCTAAGCGATATGCTAATAGAGAGAAATATTCATGAAAATCTGAATTTACAGAAACTAGAGTTTTAATATTATATATAATAAGTGTATTGGTTTTTAATATGAATCATATAGATTACTGATTCATACAAATATATACAGAATTTTAATTCAGGAGGATTCATTCAGAGATCAGAATTAAAAGCAAAGTTCAAATTTGGAAGTATTAATTATTTCTGATATAGCATCTCATGCAGCTATATGTTATTGCCAAAATAATAAAATCTTCTGTCATGACAGTGAGACATAGTCATTTAACACAATTCTCTTGCCAATGCAAGGATTTTGCATAGAAAGTGGGAAATGATGTCTTGATTTTTCTGCATGTGAATTTTTTTTGTTGTTCAGCACATGTATTACTCCCTCCCTGCACCTCTGTTAAACCTATTTTGACTTTGATTACGTTTATTTTTTCCCATGACTCAGTCTCAATTTCAGCAGTGTAAGGCCTCTGTGAAACACCCGATTTTGATACATTGGCAATCCTTTCTCATACTGAATCCAAGAAGAGTCATACATCTCCAAAGAAATGTATCAAAATAAAGCCTTTAAAAAGAAACTTGGTCCTTTCACCATTAGTGTGTACTAATTTTGTACAAAATGTTTTCTAAAATCAATGTAATAAAAATAATTAGCTCAGTAGTATGAAAAGTGGGTTCAAAAAACGGTCATTACAAGAATAAATAAACATGAAACTAAAAGTTTACCTCAATTCCTGAAAAAATCAGATTTGGAGAATAATGCACTACGGTTCTGGTGTTATAGGCACTGTCCTTTTTATTTTTGACTGTGAGACTAACATTGAACTTATCGTTGTGGGACCTGACAATAAGCAGGCCCTTTTCTGTGGTGGATGCATCCAGGGTGAGGTCCGAGATACATTTTTCCTTGTTTCCACAGTCTTTGGCAAAAGGAATCTGAAATGGTCACAGAAAAGCATTTTTCAAAATTTAGTGAAGCCACTCACAAAGGGAACAGATTTCACTGCAGAAATCATAAGGAATTTTATATTTGTTCCTATAATTTATAGGAGAAAAGAATAAACTTTTACTTTTGGATATAAGTTCTTCTAGTCCTTTAAAGAATGAACAGCTTTCACAGATGTTTTTCACTGGCTTTAGTCTGCCAGAGTAGAACAGTTTCAAAAAAATCAAGGCAAGTTCTTTAAGATCTAAATCATATGAGAGAATACTTTAACACTCAACTCCGATTATAAGATTTTCTATTGAAAAGAATCAAATACTTGGGAACATAATAGAGCTCAGCTAAGAGGGTAGAAAATGGTCAAGCCATGTAACTGGGAGCTTTCCTTGACTCCTCTTCTTCATTAAGCCCCTCTCTCTTATTCAATCCATCACCAAGAACTGTGCATTCTACCTCTATTCTACATATCTCCCAAATCTCTTCTTGTCTCTCTGTTTCCACCACCACCTCTGGTCCAGCCATCTTTATTTCCTCCCTGAACTAAAGCAACAGCTTCCTAAGTGGTCTCCCACATGCAGTCTTGTTTCCCTCCAATCATTCTCTACATTGCAGCTAAAGTAATCCTTAAAAAAATACAAATCCAGCGCTATCACTGAACCAATTAAAGCCATCAGTAGCATTCCACTGCTCTACAAAAAAGTTTACAGTCTGTACAGTGGCACAACGTCCTGAAGGATCTGGTTCCTCGCTTGTCAGCTTCAGTCACACTAGGGAGTTTACTTTAGTTCCTTTTTTTTTTTTTATGAGGAAGATCAACCCTGAGCTAACATCTGCCAATCCTCCTCTTTTTGCTGAGGAAGACTGGCCCTGGGCTAACATCCATGCCCGTCGTCCTCCACTTTATATGGGACACCGCCACAGCATGGCTGGCCAAGCGGTGCGTCAGTGTGTGCCCGGGATCCGAACGGGCGAACCCCGGGCCGCCACAGAGGAGCGCACACACTTAACCGCTTCCGCCACCGGGCCGGCCTCTAGTTTAGTTCCTTTTATGCCTCAGAACCTTCACACATATCCCTCTGTCTGGAACACTGCTCCCTCCGCCCCTCTAAATAGGATGGAAAATCATCCTGTGCTTCAGTCTCAACTTAAATGTCACAACTTCAGGGGAGTGCTCCCTGACTCCTCAGCCTCGGCAGAAATTCCCACAGAGCTTTGAGGTTCTCCCCCAGAGCACACACTTTAATTACTACCTAATACCTGTTTCCTAGGTTAGACCGTAAGCTCTGATGCCTGGTACATATAAGACACTCAATAAATACATTTGGAAGGAAGGAAGGGAGCGTGAAAGACAGGTGCATGGGGAGAACTAATTCCCCATCCCCAATATTTCCTCCATTGGTGCCACATTTGTGACCCCATCTTTACCCACTCATTCACTCTTTCTCAAGGGGTGGGACAGCGGACTCCAAATTTGGAAGCAGGAACTGGGTGAACACAGCTCAGTCCCTTTCTATCTCTTCTGCTCTTGGGGCAGTGATATGCCGTCGGACGCATACATTCTGCTCTACACTTCCATTCTGCAGGTTTCACGAGGTGGGCCCCCATGAAGACGGCCTGAGATTGCTGAGCGCTGCTGATGACCTATTTGATTATCTCTGGTCTAACGTGATTCAGTAGGAGGACACCCATTATACCTAAACCATGCCCTGCAAGTGTTCATTAGTAATACAGGGGAGTTCCAATTGGCCAACTTATGTTTTTCTTTCAGTTGGTCCTAAATTCAGGAGACATAAAAATAGGTGTCATTTATAAGTTCTCTTAAACTCCAATAATAGGCAGTTGGGAAAACTCTAGACTAGTCTAATTCTTTTTTTTTTTAATATAATAGGTTTAGGGTTGTGTGTGTCTGTTTATGTGTTTCACGTTTTTTTCCTAATATATTTGCAAATAGGTATCCTGAATTAAAAAAATTGACTTACATATTCATGGACTGAATTTGGTAGAGAATCATCAAGAACTGGCCCATTTTCTGGATCAGTAAGACTAAAATCCAAAGTTATTCTTACAGAGTCCCGAAAGTCATGCTTGTCCTAGAGGTCGAAACATAAAATATATCATTGGCATCATATTTACTGGATGTTCTGACCTTGTTATGGCTTCCTTCTGCTGCCCCTGTGGGTCCTCGTCAAGCTTTTGCTTCACTGGAGAGGGACTGCCCTCTGCCTTGACAAGGGAGACTGCTGGAATGAGAGGCTTCAGGTTATGACCAGGTGACTCACCTCCAGCTTCTCAGAGGGGCCTGCTGGAGTGATGGGATATGTCGTACTTTGCCGTGTCAGGATATACCATTCCAAGCTACTCGCGTAACAATATCGTGTCTCTTGAGACCTCGAGCTAAAAAATCACTATGTAATACTTTTAGGAACGTCTCCCAACTTCAAAAGAGCAAACCTTCTTTAAATTGAGCTGCATTTTATTAATATAATATATACCTTGAGCTGTAAGAATTTTATAATGTGCAATGATAAGTAAATAATGTGAATGCGATCAAGATTGTTTATACTACCATCACTAACAGCCATCTTTTATAGCATGTCTAGAATTATGAGCTTTGTATACATTATTGAGAATTATTTCAGCAGAGCTCCAAGATGAATAACTATTATAGTCTTTATTTTACAGATGAAAAACGGAGCCTCTAAGAGACTAAACAACTTTATCAAAATCACTCGGAATGTGGGGAAGCTGGAATATAAATTCCATCCTGGCTGACTCCAGAACAAATGTTAAAGCATCCATTAAAATCCAAAAGAATTTTGGAAATTTTGAAAATAGTTTATTCCTTTTAATACCAGTGCCTAGACACAGCTAGATACTAAATTTTGGACAAATATACCACACCCACATGCATGTTTTCTGTCACTTTGCTGCCCCTAACTACAATATTTTTAAAATGTAAAATATAAGTCAGAGATGGGGAAAAACCAGCCTATTTCCTTTAAAATTTCAAAGTCATGTTCAAGTCTCTAAATCTCAATCTTGATTACTAAAATCAGTGTTTTCTCATTACATTCATTCTAGTTTTTTTTTTTTTTTTTGATCATCATATTTTAAGAAAATATTTCAGAAACTCCTGCCCTTAGTTGGGAATGCTCTCCACATTCACAGTGATCCAATAAAATACATTCAAAATGGTTCAAACTGGCTTACTAGCCATCTCTAGAGATTAACAATTTGCTTTCCAAGGCTCTCTCATCCACTGAAATAGAGAGAAACTTAAGTAGCACAAAGCCTACAGATGATAGAAAATATCAGATTTTTGCCCCTTCAATTTAAAGTCAAAGAGTGAAATCCACAGTTCAGTGGACAAGAAGAGATGTCAGAGAGCGCATGGCCCAACAGTTCCCCTCAGGACATTTAACCCCTTATCATCCACATTTGACAGACAAGGCCCACAAAAGTTAAATGATGTTTTCAAGTTGAAAGAATGAATGAATGAATGAAATGAATAAATGGATGAAGACACACGATCTCCTATCAGCTAGGGCACTGTGCCTTTTACTATTCCATAATATATGGATGTCTGATACACACACAGGGAAGATGAAAGATAGTTTTATGAAATGTATTTGGAAATTAAAAAATCAGACCTGTAATTATCTGCTAAAAGTGACCAAACAAAATAAAGTTTACTTTGTGATGTGCACTTTGAAATAAAACAATAAGATTGATTGACTTGAAATAAGACATCTATACTTTATGCTTGTTTTGGAATAAGGCAGCTATAGTATATGATTTACTTGCCAACATGTAGAAGGAATGCTTAGTGCATTCTGAGTCTCGAACTGTGATGTTTCTTTGAATCTTTCTTTCTTGGGTTCCAGAGAAAAAACTTCGTGATATCTGCCTTAGTGAATCTAGTGTGACACGGTACTGCAGATCTATAAAAATAAAAGAATAATTGACAGAAATATTTATTTGGGGTGATTTTCATATGGTCCAGCTCATTAAATTAGCATTATAGTGAACATGATGTAGTCCATGCAGAAATAGAAGTACAATGATGTACACCTGAAATTTTTGCAATGTTATAAACCAATGTTACTGCAATAAACAAATAAGCTAAAAAAAAAAAAAATTAGCATTACAGAAAAACCTCTTGAGCACTCAGTCAACAAAAAGTTTCTATTATTCAGCATATCGACACTACTGAAGTACAACGGTTTTTGCAGTCATGAAGATAACCTTGAGGAACTCTGTAGAACTGCTTTCCGAGTTCACTATGCTTTTAATGTTTAATTACACTTAATTTTATAATATATATGTATATATGCACACACATACACACATGTGCGCACATCTACACATCACCTAATTTTCTGACCATGCCTGTGTTTACTGGGTTTTCACTTAAAGTTTTTTTGTTTTGTGAGCAAGATTAGCCCTGAGCTAACATCTGTGCCAATCTTCTTCTATTTTGTATGTGGGACACCGCCACAGCATGGCTTGATGATCAGTATGTAGGTAAGTGCCTGAGATCCAAACCCGCGAACCCCAGGCTGCTGAAGCGGAGCTAGCGAACTTAACCACTATGCCACTGGGCCAGCCCCTTAAAGTATTTTTTTAGCTTAGAAACGTTGGAGTCCTCCTTAGAATATTGATTATTATATTTCAATAGAGACAAAAATATACGCTAATGACATTTTTACCTATTTTATAAAAAATGTCATTTTAGACTATGTTTGAAGCACATAATAAAATAAGCTTAATAAATAAGTTTAATAAAATAAGCATACCACAATAAAAACAAGTTAAACCTTATACTTTCTATGAAGGCAACAATCCTCCTTATTTGACTGCTTAGTTACTATAAAAATATTACATAAGATTGAAGTAATGTTGCATATGAAAACGTAAATCATTATTTTACATTCCTATACCTTATTTATCTTCTAGTCAGAGGACAACTGCGGAGCATAAATATGCACATTCAGAGCAAACTAAGAAAAATAGATCTTAAGGATTAATAGTTTTTCTCATTTCACTTACATTTGGTTTACAGAGTAAATTACTCTTCTGCAACCAAAGGCCTTCACAGTTTTGACTCCAACATATTTCAATATCATTAAAAAACTGCCTAAGGCAGTGTAGACTATAGGGATGAGGGGGATACACAGGCTGACGTGATGTGCCTGAGAACACACACACGGAACACGTCTGACTCTCAAAAACCAGGATCACCTTCTGTATGGAGCAAAGGGATCTCAGGAAAGTCGGGGGTGGGGGATGGCAAAGAATTCAGGTCCTCTGCAACACCAGTCTTACCGGAGAGACGGCAGGAGAAGGAAGAGAGGGTTTGTGAAAACCCACAGGAAGGAAAACTGGGCTCATCTAGAGCCCAGTTTCCAAACACCACCTCTGAATTGTTTTTTTGTTTTTTTCCTCAGCACCTGGTTGTTCATACCAAGCCAAAGAGCCAGAGGGAAAGTACAGAATGTTGAGGCCATTATATATAAGCATATAGTTTCTGCTCCAGAATCTACTGGGTTTCATAGCCTATTCTTTCTGCTGTAGAATTTTTTCAAGGTTCAACATGTTCACAGGGGCAAATGTGATGTGCAGATCCCTACCTTTGGGGGAAATACAATATCTTACTGGATTTCATCATGCTGGAGCAAATGTATTGTCCTCCTGCCCCAAAGGACTTGCTATATACATTACACTCACCAGCTGCATAAATCGTGTCTTCTTTGGACTTTAATTTCACATCAAAACACACTGTAGCATTTATGCATACCGTTTCCTTTCCCTCTACACGGCAGTTTTTCTTTTGAATATTCACTTTATTGGGTTCAAAATTCATGGTCACTTTAACTACAGCAACATCTCGGGACCTACAAACACACAAACAGTGGTGATGACTCACACATGTTCCCAGCTAATGAACGCCATCGTTTTGGGAGTGCAATGGGAATGCATCGAAGGGGATTCTTCTTTGTGTATGGTGTCGGCTCTCAGGACTCCGTTTCTTTGGGGAATTTTTGATACAGAAGAGATTGTATGTGATGTTCTGAGGATACCCAGGTTGTTTTGGAACGATCTTAGGCTTTTGGTTCTGAAGAGTCACAGAATATGCCACCCCAAAAATATGACTATAGGAGTTCAGGATCTGTCACCCCAAAATATACTGCCTTGGTATATTGATTATTTTGAGCTGTGGGCACTTGAAAAACAGCAAAGGCAGGGAGAGGCTTTCTCTGAACTCCTCTTATCTGCCTAAAGAAAGTCTCTCCAAAAGGAACTCAATTGTCATCAGTCTCCTCCCCGTGAGGTCATCAACCAGGGAGGACTGACTCTTATCACAGGAGAAAAGACACCATACTGAGACAAACTTCGTCACAAACTGTCTCATCTCCCATCTATTCTTCTAAGGGCCCATTCATCTTTTTTAAAAATCATTTCCTCTGCCCTAAGAGGCCTACATCTTCCCTCCTCTTTCCCCATTAAGATGGTATTTAAGTCTGAATTCTAAGCCACCTCAAGGAGTTACTCATTTTTCTCTGGGTCTCTCCCATGTATACATGAGGTATACATGTTAATAAACTTCTGCTCGTTTTTCTCTTGTTAATCTGTCTTTCGTTACAGGGGTCTCAGCCAAGAACTCAGAAGGGTAGAGGGAACATTATTTTTCATCTCCTAAAGTTCACAGGCCAAAGATCTGTTCTGCCTGTGATGGAAAAGAGATGGAACCAAGTGCTCAGGTGCAATCTCAGAACCAAAACCATATTTTGGGAATCTTTGAGTTTGTTCCCAATCTGGAAAGAGTCCAGAGACCCCTGGACAACTTTTCTACATTGTAATACTTGTACAGATGAGTATAAGTTGTCATACTTGTACAGATGAGTACAAGTATTATAGCTAGGTATCTTGTGAATATGTAAGTCCCTGATTACACTTTTGCATTTTAAAAGAAAAGTTATAGTTATTTTTCTTTTTAAAATATTTTACCCATAGAAAACTTGGAAATATAAAAAAGGAAACAAAGAAAACTAAAATCACTTATAATTCTACCACTCAGCAATAACATCATTAACATTTGGTACACTTAGTGTTTTTTTCTTTGCAGAAGAATATATATAGAGACACACGCATACATACACACACATGCACACATACATATATACACATACAGTGGCACATATACATATTATGCATACATACTTTTAAAACTTATCATAATATAACGAACAGCTTTACAATATTTATATTTTTCTGGGAACATTATTTTTAATGGCAGTATACTATTCCACCACATGCATGTACCATAATCGATTTACTCAAGCTTTCTTATTGGATATTTGTCTTAATTTCTTTTTTAAAAAAATAGTTATTACATACAGCACTGTGATGACTCTATAGATCATACATCTTTCACCACAGTTTATGTCTTTATAAAATTTTAGGAGGTAAATTCCTTCTTAAAAAGCATGAACAGGGGCTGACCCGGTGGCGTAGCCATTAAGTGCACACTCTGCTTCAGCCACCCAGGGTTCAGATCTCTGGCGCGAACCCACGCACTGCTTGTCAAGCCATGCTGTGGCAGCATCCCATGTACACTGGAGGAAGACGGGCACAGATGTTAGCCCAGGGCCAGTCTTCCTCAGCAAAAAGAGGAGAATTGGCATCGGATGTTAGCTCAGGGCTGATCTTCCTCACACACACAAAAAAAGTATGAATATTTTTTACTTCTTAAAAAGTACGAACATTTAAACACTTTTTAACACTTAACGATAAATACCTTCCAATGGGTTGTAACCAGTTGCCCTGTCACCAGCAATGAATGAGTCCGGTTTCCTGCACCATTAGTAGTTTGGATCTTCCAGGCATGAGGCTGCCTTGACTTCTCCCCACCACACACCTTCTCTCTGCCCCAACCAGATCGTTATAGGGGCTACGGCTCAGTCTAGTCCACATGATGGGGCTCTCAGTTATCTGCTCCAGACACCCCTGACTGACGAGTGGGCCTGTGTTTATCACCTGTCATCTGTATCCACTCCCAACCCCTCCCTTGGCATCACAAATCTTGCTCTTCATGTCCCAGTCGGCTGGTTTGGTCCATTCTGCTGGGCAATGGCAAGGACCCGACTCTGTCATTTTGGCCCATCAATGACAAAGCCTTGACTGGGGGCAAGAGAGGCCATAGATAAGTTTTCAGAGCTTTGTAAGAAGTCCTTGAAACGAAACTGGAGAATAAAAATTGCCCTTAAAACATATATACTGTTAAGGGTGAATACAATAAATATTTGTGAGTTAACGTTATCATAATAAATTAATTCAGGATTAACAGTCCAAACAAAAATGAAATGTACCCTTTTTTGCTGACACTGGTGACTTCTGGTCTGAGCCCTCGTCTTGGGTGGGCCCCACTCAAAGTCACAGCCACTTGCTGCCCAGCATTCTCCTTTCCTAGGCAATGCCTTTCAGTTTTCTTTTCCCTCTACTGTACAGTTAAAACATTTGTTTTTTGGTGAGGAAGACTGGCCCTGAGCTAACATCTGTTGCCAATCTTCCTCTTTTTGATTGATGAAGATTAGCCCTGAGCTAACATCCGTGCCCATCTTCCTCTATTTTGTATGTGGGATGCCACCACAGCAGGGTTTGACAAGCGGTGTGTAGAGGTCCGCACTGGGATCCGAACCCGTGAACCCCGCCCGGGCTGCCACCAGGCAGGCCCAAAATATTTTTAACATAATGGTTACTATCTGTGTACACTTTAGTGTACAATTTTTATTTGACCATTAGTTCTTAGCATCATCTTAAATTATGACAAAGTCGTCTATTTTCAGGTCTTTATTGTTACCTCTCTCTTTCACAATTTTCTTTACTACTCTTCTAGATACATTTTTGGAAAAAGGACCACTGATGTATTTTTCCCTCTGAATTTCATTAAACCAATGATTAATTTAAAAGAAGCTACACGTGGACTTTCCATTGAGACACATGGCATAAATATGTATTTTTTTGTTAAATTCTTCTTTTATATTTCTTAATAAAGCTTGTAACATTTTTCAAAATTATCACACGAAATTCTCATTAAGGTTACTCTTGATATTTTTTTAGTCATTTTTTTCAAATAGAACCTTTTGTGAAATTGTGTTTTTAATCTGGCTAAAGCTAGAGTTATTAATGTTATTAATTAATAAATTATTTTGTTAAATAAATTAATAAGTAAATGATATTAATGTATGTATCTGACCATCAGCTAGGATTTTAGAATTAACTGAAACTAATTTGGGGATGCAGGCATTTTAAAGGCTGAGCAAAGATAGTCTTGAAGATGCTTCTATGCTTGACCAACAATATAAATACAATCAGACAATGACGCACAATTGTCTAATTACACAATTAGGTGAATGAATGAACAGTCAATTATCCCCAAAAGCTTGTAAGCAACTCAGTTAGAGATGCTTTCTTGTTCATATACATCCTCTACGAGGCCCTCTTCTCCCCTCCCCCTCCCCCAAAACAGAATATCTATCTTAGGGCCAAGCACATAATAGATACCACAAATTAAGAGTTGATTCTACTTGTTCCTTTCACACGATTTCTTTATTTTTAAGATTTATTGACTCCTCCAGGCTCCCAAACTGCATAATTTTTATTTAAATAATAGAGCACAAAAGGAAACAGATATTTGGTATGACATGAGCTCTGATCATACTCTGAACTCTGGAACTACTGGTGAGACATTATCAGATTATTGGATGTTATTAAAATACATACCAGAAGAGGGCAGCACCACCAAGGCCCCCGATAGTCACATCAGTCAGACCGTCACCATTTAAATCCATTTCTCCGTGGATAGACTGGCCAAAAAATTTCAATGTCTCACCATCTCCACCTGATGGAATACGCTGTGAAAATCCCAGCAGAGAGTTTTCATGTTAGAAGAGTCTCTTCAAAAACAGTTTCAATAAACCCTAGAACTTGGATTGGTTAACAAAAAATTAAAATTAAAGATCTTTTGGAAACCTGCCCCAAAGCCGCCTCACATGGAGACAAGAGGAATTACCCAGATATTCCCAAAGGATATTCTTTTTATAGCACAAACAAAACTGTTTCAGAGTTACTGACACCAGAGAGAGGGGAAGAAATTATATAACGTCATCTTGTCTAATCCTCAAGGAAAACATTGTGAGTAATTGGCTCTGCTTTCTAGTTCCTATTCAATCCCATTACACAGAGGTATTTAAAGGTACTGGAAACCTTGAAAACATATCATACCAGCTGGCCTAGGGGTCAATTTGGGGTTCACTGAACTTGGGGCTGAGTATAAATAACACATTCCATCAAATACATTTTTCAATATGCGATCTTCTTTACTGTCAAAAATTGTCCTGAAAGTCAAGGGCACAGCAGACTCACTCCACTCACATGTATCCACAATGTTGGGAAGGCATAAATGAATATCAAGTTCTCGAAGGCTGACTTGTGCACATCCCCATGCATAATATGTTTGATATCTGTACTTCCTGACTTAGCTTTGGTTCAAGCTGATAATATTTTAATAGAATCTAATGGCAAGGAGACAGGACTGACAGACCCTCCCTAAACTTGGACTCTTATTCTGCTATTTTCCACTTAAAAATCATAAATTAGGAAGCCAATTAAAGCAAACCAAATGGAAACATTTTTCGTGCTTAAATGTTTGTGGCTCACTGGGAATTATTTCCTTATGTTTTCAGCAAACAAATCAGTAGATATCTGCCTCATTGGTGCTGTTGATTCAGTTTGATTCTGGATCATCCCATACACAAGTAGCACCTCTGGTTACCGTGGAAACGAGTGAGCACATCCTCCCCTATCCTTGGGAAAGCATTTTGCTGATAATTAAATAAACTCAACTCTAATATTCGTTTTTTTGTTGCTGTTGATTAAAGCTTCATCTTGAGTTACTATCATTTTACAAAATAAATTGCTCATGACAATGTATTCCGTTTATTAATGTTTTAAAAATCCTTCTTTTTCTACTGCAAATGCAACTCCATTAAATTTGCAGGATTAACCCTGAAGGAATAAAGTGGTAAAACACAAGAAAGAAACGCAGTCTTCCTCAGTTCCTGTTTCCATCAGGACTCAATTGTTAACATTGCCTGTTTCCAGCTAAGTAAATAATACCATGCAGATTTTTAAAAGAAATAATTTATTAAATGGGTAGGAGAGTTGTTACTGAAATATGCCCTTTATTTTGTTGTTTCACTATTAATGTCATTATGAATTTATGAAAAATTAAGCACAACTTCTCAATACGTGAATAGATTTTGAGAATTATGTTGACTACAGTACCAAAGAGAACAATCAAATGTAAAAAGAAATAATTGATGTTCTGATTTTCTTTTCATGTTACATAAGCTAGAAAGTAGTGAATTCTATTTTATTTATAAGTAGCTGTTCAATGCCTAACTAACTATGGTTACTTAAAAACAATTATATTAGAAGAATTCCTGTAGATGCTCTTATTTTTATAGTGCACTAAACACTTCTAAAAATTGATATTTTTCTTATGTAGGAAAAAATTACATTTATGGACTAGAGCCATTAACTGACAATAAATTTAAAGCAGGAACAATAGAAATCCCCTGCAGGTTAAGCTTAATTATTCAGATGTTTTTCCAAGAGGGATTACTTGTGAGAAAATTATAAACCTTCGGGAACCCAAATTCATTTGATGAAAATATACCAACTTAATTAATAAATATAAATGTAATGCAATTTTATTATAACAACCTGGATATTGAATATAAAAACAATAATCTCATTTCCTTTATTGGAAAAATCATCTAATTATTGTTCTCTCATTCAGACAGTGGTACCCTCTATTTAGGATCAGACACATTGCAGATGTTAAATAGCATTGTTAAAAAGTGTTCTTTTGTTTCATTTTGTACCATTTCAAAAGACCAGGTTATGGAGACATGGCAAATAATAGCAACAAAAAAACTAGATAAAAGGATAAAATACAAAGAAATTCTTCCAGACAGAAAACGTGGAAGAGAAGTAGAAACCTAGTTTCCCAATAGAGTCAGAAGAAAGAGATTAACTCATGAAGTAAGACAGGTGATGCTTGGCATTGAACCCACGTATCACTTCCAGGTGAGAATCTGTAGGTTTAACTTCTTACTTGTGCATGCTCTTTCCTTATAGTCTTGCCACTTCCATGGTAAATGTATACGGCTCCCCCGTGATCATCTTCCAGGGGAGCTCCTATCACAATGTCATTAAACCCATCAAGATTGAGGTCTTTCACAGCAGCAATAGCTGTTCCAAAACGAGCCCCACATGGCTCATTTTTGTTTGCTTTCGTGCATGAATTGTGCTTCAGAGATGAACAGCAAGTCTGTTTAATGGGTTCCAGGCTCATTTGATATTCAAACCTTGTCTGGAAGAGAGATAAACAGGATACTTAGGGGTTTCTATCATTACTACAGCCGAGTGGAATTTTTAAGTACATACTAAATCAGTGCTATTAAAAACCATTTGTACATCAACAGTAAAGTTTGCAAAATTTCTTAAAAAGTATGCCTAACTGAGAGCAAAGTTAGAGATTTCAAAGAACAGACTATAGAATTGTGGGAAGGAAGACATATTGAGGATTTTCATGGACTCTCTTTTTAATGCAATCAGGTGAGTATACAACTCACAGCATCTTTTTAAAGCAGAACTGAATTTTTAAATCCTCAATCTGTGTCACTATCCTTTCTTCACCTAGTATTGTACTTCTTTGAAAAGTCTCTACATATTCTCCCCTATAGAACAAAGAGAAAATTTACTCTGTTCAAAAAACAAACTTTTTCCAAAGCTGCCTAGAGTGAAAAAAAAACACCCCAAACCCAGAAAAGGGCAGAAAATACTAGCAATGATCAACAGGAACACACTTCCTTGGACAAAAGGGAAAAATGGCACAGGACCAAAAAAGTTGACAGGAGCAAGCCAAAAAAATGATAGGAAGAAAGACATATAATTTATGATTTAAAATAATTAATATGGGAGAGACTCTAAGAGTTTAAAAAGCTAAATAGATGCATACCGACTTTGTTGTACCCAGCAAAAAACTCTGCTAATGTAGAAACTAAGAATTATCTCAACTAACGATGTCTAGAGTCAGGAATGGAAAACAAACCTCCCTCAAGCGCAGTGAAGTATTCCAGAGACCACAGTAGTTTCTGAAAGTGTCTGGTGTCATTGCCTTAAAATTTACTCTATCTCCACAATCCTCCCCTCCCCTCCTCCCCGCCCACACCCCATGCAGCTTTAACTGTTCACGTTACTGCCTCCAGGCCAGTGCTCATGAGTGGTTGCCTTGTGAGTTTATTTAGCAGTTTGGTGAGATTTATATTTATCTTTATCCTATATATTCTGTTAAAAAAGAATAGTTCACATTTCCATGCAGAAAATATCTAAGGATTTGAACTATATTGTTAGAATTCTAAATGTTCATTTAGAAACTGAGGGGTTAGTGGGATAGATAATTCCTGAAAGCTTCTTTGCTCCTTTTTCCAAAGTGAGTGAAAAATTAGAACTACGTTAATTATTTGAAATTGAAAGGGAGAGATTTCCCTGGATTTCTACCAAACTCACGGTTACCATTACCTGATTCAGGGCATACACATAGACTTTTCCTTGTTCCTCTTTCTCTGTTCCCATGTACATGGGCGCTCCAATTAGAAGAATGTCAGTATTAAAATCTTTATCAATGTCAATTGTTGTTAAAACACTGCCAAAATAGGAACCGATCTAGGACACAAAACAAAACAGTCTGATGAACGTCAGAAATTCTCAAGGAAGCTAAAAACCTGCATTTCTTTTGTTATACCAATCTAGAAGAGTATTCGACATTCAGATGGCAAAGGAAATGAAATATAGAAACTGATGCCACCTGAGGGCTCCCTATTGGCTCTTGCATGAGGCTAATGAATATTAGTCAGGTCCACCCTTGAGGATGAGCAGCTGCTATAGATTCCGCAGCTTGAGAGTCAGAGAAACGATTTCCTTTAGATTTCATCCTAACCTCTCTTTCTTCTCCACAAAGAAAAAAAGATCAGTAATGATACAGTGATTTTTTTTTTTTTTTGGTGAGGAAGATCAGCCCTGAGCTAACATCTGCCAACCCTCCTCTTTTTTGCTGAGGAAGACTGGCCCTGGGCTAACATCCATGCCCATCTTCCTCCACTTTATATGGGACGACGCCACAGCATGGCTTGCAAGGAGTGCATCGGTGTGCGCGGGATCCGAACCAGCGAACCCCGGGCCGCTGCAGCGGAGCGCGTGCACTTAACTGCTTGCGCCACCGGGCTGGCCCCCAGTGATTTTTTTGTAAGGAAATAAAATGAAATAAGCAATAGAAGGCATTCTGGAAAGGCTTCAGTATTCCTTTAAACACAGTAATATGGAAATATGAAATAAAATACATTATGAGGAGCTGAATTGTATTGGAATAGAGGTGCAGCATATTCACCTTATAGTCTTAGAAAGACTGTCTACTCAACAAAATGGCTTAGTCTTGTCCCAGCAGCTATGGGAAATGGAAAAATAGGGTTGCAGGGGGGACCATCCCCTTGCAGCAATATATTTTCTCTTTTAAAGATAGGGATGTATTTTAGGGAAATGCAGGGGACGTACACTTCATTATCTAAACGCAATAACCTTCGCAACTATTGACCTGCGTATTTGACGCTCTTGATAATTCTCTCAATTCAAACTTCCTTCTTGGCTTCCATGCTTTTATTTTTGCTCTCCTGATTCTGCCACTGTATCATAGACTATCCTTTCTTTTCCTCTTTGCTGGCTCCTTTCCCTCCTCCCATCCCCTAGATTTTGGCACCCCCTAAGCTCAGACCAGCATTTTTTCCTCATTCTCTTACTCTAGATGACCAATCCTCCCTGACGTTTCCATTACTGCAAGTTGCAAATTTCATTCCATCCTCCTTCTTGAGCCTCCAGTTCTACATTTCCACACATTGCTAGACATTTAGACAGCTGCTAGACATTGGCTTTTGAATGTCCTTTTCTCACCGGCTTATGAAGGGTTTAAAAGGTTTTTTAAAAAGTTGAATTAATTACAAACATAAATAAAATGTTGTAAGATCTGGCAACATTGGGCCTTCATTCCAACAGAGAAACAGCCATCTGGAGCTCAGCAAAACCTTTATACGGCTCAGGAGCTGCTCAGGCCACGGTTCCCACTGCTTCCTGTTGTCGTCTGTACAGCAGCTTTATTTATTTCCTTTACCTACCTGGCACCCGCAACGATTTCAATTTGTGCTCACGGTTATAGAAAACATGTCTAAAACCAAATACCATTTAAAATAACATCTCAACCGCTTGAGTTGCTGACATTCTAATCATGGTGCCATCTTTCTCCCAGATTCCCAGGCTTGAAACTCAAGTCATTCATAATTTAAATCATTTGTGATATTCTCTTCAAATGTTCATAAGCAAGTCTGCATAAAACTTTATACTTGCTGTCTTGTAGACAATTAATAGAGTGATAATGGACATCAGATGTTGTCCAAAATGTTTCATTTTACAGTCTCACTAATTCCTCCTTAGTTATGTCTACCATACTCCCTCTTTTTCCATTTTTACTGTTGTTATATCATTTCAGGTTCTTCTCACCTCATCCGTGAGCTACAAGTCTTGTTTTTATTGTTGATGCATTTTCTGATGACATATGTGGGCAAAAGGCTAATAAAACTCTTTCACCTGGTATACGAGAATCTGACCTTTAGTTTACTCTAACTCTGTTCCCCTGGAAATATGATGAGGGAGGGATTTCAACTATATTACTAAGCAACATTGAGTGTGGTAAAACTAAACTCTTATTGGGACATTGCATTTAGGTTGCATGGAACTAGAAATACGTGATGGAGACAACATATTTTGGGCTTTCTAGAATGCAGTGACTCTTGTAACTGCATGTCCTTAACAAGAACTCTAGAAGCTTTGTCTGTGGTGTTATAAAAGACATTGGCTCCTGTGGGGCTTTAAGCTAGGGCAGCTCCTGCACCAACCTGATGTGTCTATCCTGGCACCTAAGCTGCACTCTTGTACTTGGCTGTTACAAGGACTCCTGCAGGGGAGGAGGGCGGGTGCTGCTCTGCCCTTCAGAGTAGTTTGTGTATGTGTCTGCAGGAGGGTAGTTTGGTGAGTTGGAATATCTAGTGAAGCCTACGAACCCTCCTGTCCTATGAAGATTGCAGAATAAAGTTAATAAATTCTCAGTATAAAAACACTTGGAAAATACAGAAAACTATGAAAAAGGAATAAAAATTACCCAAATCATCACAATTCAATAATAATCAACAATAGCATAGATGTTTCTATATATATATTTTAAATATATATATAATATTTAAATATATCTATATATATTTTAAATATATATATAATATTTAAATATATCTATATATATTTTAAATATATTTATATATACTTATATTTGCATATTGCACGTATAATTTCTTAAACTGCTTGAATATTCAATATGATCTAATGAGAATTTTCTGATTTCACATGTTACAAATAATTTCCCATCACCTTCAGGAGGAAATCCAAATTCTTTAGTCTGCCACTGGAAACCTCACACCGTTGAGGTCCACGTTATCTTTTTAACTGGCTCTTTCTACCTGTCTACATTCTGTCCTTCTAGACTAGCCCAAATTTTATCTCTTCTTAAGACTTTCTGCACCAGTCCTAGCTTAAAACAATCTTTTCTTCTTCTGAATTTACTGTCTGTGCCACTGGCACTTTCAGGCTTCTTAATGTTTTAGACCTCTTTTCTTGTATATATATTTGCACATCTGTATCTACATCTATTATCTATACATCTTACCTCCACCCCCATCCAACTGAAATGTTCCTGAGGCCAAAGATGCAGACACTTGACATCCCTCCAAGGAACCTAACATGGGGCCCTGTTCTCAGTTGATGTTGAATATGAGGTACTGGTTTTTTAAAAGTTTAGGACAACAGACAGTTAAGTTAAATTTCCATAGACAGAGTATGAATGGATTAATTTACAACAATAATTTTCAAGCCTACCTGTTCTCCACTGAGTGTCTGGAGAATCTTGATGTCTCCATCTTCCATCCTATAGATGATGACCTGGCCTGTATGATTGTACCGCGGCTGTCCAGCAATGTAGAGCACATCTCCAGAAACAGTGGCAGAGTTTACTGTGTAACCTAACAAAAGAGAGATGGCACGTACACTCTCTGACCCCTTAAAGTCTGCACAGAATAAATTAAGATATATTTTAAATGGTTGGGATAACCATTTTTATATTTTTAGATGGACTTTTCTTTTTTTGAAAATAAATATATATTTTTTAATGCAGGTAAGTTTGTCTTGGTCGAAGCTTTTAGTGTGTTCTCTGATTATCTACCATAACTGCTTTGTCCTGAAAAGGTATTTTTCCCCCATTCTCAGTTTTTAATTGTTTAAAGGCACAAATGATATAACAGCGATGACAGAAAGAGAAAAACAACCCACAAGAAACTCTTGCAATCTCAATTCACCACTTTGTAATAAATCAATTGTATTTCATCTGGATGTATGTGTCTGTGCTATAGAAATTAATAATTTTATATAGTTGGAGTCATAGCAAATGTAAGCCTTTTCTGTGTTGTAGCCCAGGTTTTTAAATTGTAATTTTAAAGGGTTGAAGCTTATTTCTCTGAGTTAAGGCCTAAAGTCATTGTGTTTATACCACAGGATCATTCCCTAATGGAATGGTGGAATTCAGATGGTTTTAAATCTTTTGGTATTATACTTAAGTCTGCAAAGACATCTTTAAACATTTAATTTATTTTTCTTTTGGATTTTTTTGATGATAAATTTCAAAGAATAGGTTACTGGATCAAATTTTCAGTGGTTCTTATAGTGTCTGTCAAATGGTTTCCAGAACATCGGTACTAATTTATTCCATGAACAGCCATAGGAGAAACTAGTTTCATCAAACTCTCCCAAACATTGGGTATCATTTAATTTATGGATGTTCTAATAGATGTTAAACATAATTTAACAATAGTACCTTGTTGTGATTTTAATTCGCATTTATTTGATTAAAAGTGAGCTTGAACAGTTTTTCATGGTTAATCATTCCTCTTTTTAATTGGGCTTTCATGCCCTTTAAAATTTTAAATTATGTCTGTAAGGTAGATTAATATTAATTCCTGAGTGAAGAATTAGATTTATTGTTTGTGTCTCCAGAGAACAGAGCTAAACCAATGGATAAAAATTAGCACACGTAGATTTCAACTCAATAGAAGGAAGAAATACTCCAGTAACCAGAGCTGTCCATCTTTGGAGCAGAAGGTAGACTGTTTTTCAAAATGCCACAGAATAGCATTTCTTACTGAGAAAAAGATTATATTGATAATTTACTTGCTAAGTATTTTACTGTACGGTAATAGTTCCACCTTCTTCCAAAATTTTAAAAAAGGAACACACGTTTTTATACTTAAAAATGCTTATTCTTACAAGTGCTAAAGGGAAACAATTCCTCAGGCATATTTTCCTTCATGAATATTTTTCTCACATTCTCATTTCTTCATCTTTCTTTGAGCTTTTAAAAAAAATTATACATAATAGGCAATAAAATATTCTTTTGCAAACATGTGATGTGTTATATTTTTTATGTTACTAACCACAGTATTGCTTAAAAAAATAAAAACTTTAGGGTCAGGTTTATATGTAAATAAAATGGAAAGGAAGAATGTGCAAAACAAAGGCTGTGTTATTTCATGTTGCTCTACTAAGAGATATTATAAGGGATTGGGATGAGAGTGTTAGTATGCATTCATTTTTTTAAATAATTTTCAGAAGTATGAATGCAAACTGATACAAGAACCTTTTAAAAAAAAAGTTGAAAATTACATTTGAGGCTTGGAGTTGTATGATTATTGAGCTAATTAACTTTGATGATTTGCACTTGACAACTAAAACTATTAGTTGAAGTCTTCACAGGGACAGTAACTACCAGTCAGGTAGTTACTGGTTGCAGCTCAGGCATCTAAAGACAATAAAGGAGAGAGAAAGAGGGCCAAGTAAAGTCTAACTATAATGAAAGGAAAATAATTATAAACATTTAAGCTTAGTATTGTCTTCTGAAAAAGAGAAGTACAAAATTGAAGAGAAAGGAAAATTGATGGTGCAGCCCCGTGCATGGATTTATAAAGAATAAATGTTGTCAGCTCTCATAATTCATTTCTTGGGGAAACTGCTAGGATCTGGGGAAGTAATGGGAAACAGGTCTATCTGCCTTGATTTCATGCGTTTGCCTCATATCTTTACTTTTCCTTTTGAATCTGTCTGGCATGCTTAGAAAACAGCAAACTGTGGGTGGAGGAGGCAGAGAACAGGATCTCGACTGTATTCTCGCCATCAAAACTACTTGCTAAGCGCATATCAGCATAAGGCTGGGTTATAGAAAGATGGGTGTGTGACTATATCCTGAGAGGGGTTCAACAGCTTCAGTTCCTACTTCTTTCTGATCATTATTGATTAGCATGGGATTTTTTATAGAGCATCTCTTTCTTCTTTTGCTTCCTCCATAAGGTTTTCCATAGTCTAACAACTTGCAATCCACAAAGATTTCGGGCTAACACATTCAAACTCATCTTAATTTGTAACCCACACAAACAAGGAAATGTTTTGAAAGTCTCATTTCAGATTTAGAATAATATTTGGGGGGAAAAAGATACTTTTCTCCCCTGCCCCCTCTCTGGGTGCTTTTCTATTTTGAAAGAAATATTACATATATCAGACTTTATGTTGGCAAAGTGTCTTATGCGCTAACCTGTTACTAAGCTAACGAAATGATTTCTGAAATAGAAAAAAACATGACTGTAGTCCATTGTAGATAACATACCCAAAAATGTCCTTTTCTGGGCAGAGAGGAGTCATATATTATAAATCCCATGGTCAAGAATGAAGTTCTCTTAGTTTTTTCTTGCCTGCAGTGACATCTTCAAGTCTTGAATTCTCTACATCTGCTTCAAGCAACCATTAAACCATGCTTTTTGGTAATAATAGATTTAGGCTTCTTAAGACTATTTGGTTTTAAGGAATTTAATCACATGATGGTAACTCAGAATACCAAAAGTACTGTAGTGTTATTAATTAAAATGTGTGAACTTCCTAAGAGTAGCAACTGGGTCACACATCTTTACGGACTTCACACAATGTCTTTAATTTTGTAATTTGTCTTTATTTTTGAAATGAACACTGGAATAAGAATCAAGAGACCTAGATTCTAGCTTCAGACCTGCCACAGATAAATGTGACATAATTTTTCTATTCCTCAATTTCTTAATTTGGAAAATTTGATGTTTATTATATGCTAAGATCTCTTTTAATACTAAAATTCAATATGAATTTTAAGCTGAATCCCTTCATTTTATATCACAATCCTCCAAATATTTAAAAGATATGCAGTGTATACTTTGTTTTCTAACCATCAGTTTCTACAAGTTTTGTGGGGAGAGGGACGGATGGAAGGGGATTGTTTCCAGACCTGTCTCCTTTAGATAATCTTTTACTGGCACATCCTAGTTTAGCATGTTCTTTTGTAACGTGTGATGCTTAGAGCAATGGACTACTCTAGCTGCTCTCTGGCCAGGGCAGAATGTAATAGGACTTTTATGAGAAATACGCTAGACTTGCACTAATGCAGTTCAACATGTCTTAAGGGGTTTTAGCACTCACATTATACCTGCTGCTTACCACTATATTTTCAATTATCTAAAACCCTCAGCCCTTTTATTCTTCTTAAGTCTTGCTGCTTCTACAGCTTCAATATGTGCCCTTGGATAAGGAGATGTATGGACCTACCAGTAAAGGCCTCCCACCTTCCTCATAAAATAGAAAGAAACTGGAAAAGAAAGAGAAAAAGACTTCCCTCCAGGACAGAAAGAGCCCAGAGAGGAATGCTAACATGCAAAAATATGAGCATTGCAAGGTATTTTTCTTTACCACTGCATTCTCAGCACCAAGAACAACGCCTGGGACAAAAGACGTGCCCCCAAAATATTTGTTGAGTGAGTAAAGAGCTTGGAAACCATACTCTGAGGGTCCTTTCCATCCTAGGCCCTGCCAATTGTTTATAGAGAGCATCTAGTGATAGAAGAGTCTCCTGCAGCCCTGTGCAGATCCAGAATAAGGTGATACTAGACACATACCTCCTCGTTCCAGGCAAATCTTTGGAAAATAAGATGATGTTACATCACTGGGTTTAAGTTCAATATTTGATTGTGAATAGAGCTATTAAATAAGAAGCTATATGATAAAACAAATTAAAATTTTCTTTTCCAAAATTAGGACCCATAGAAATAAAGTAACGATAGAGGATATAAAAGAGAATATGGAAGTCTGATCTTCAGGATACAGGTTGAGTCAAGGTTTCTTTTTCTACCGTCATTTCCTGTCAACCGGGTGCAAAGCTCTCCTGGAAGTTAATGAGAATACTAGACATAGGGAGACCTCAAAAAGTGCACAAATCAGCCTGAATCATTCCTGTACTGGACAGCCCTTCTGAGAAAGAATGACCTCCACGTTCTGTTATTCTGACTAACGCTGCTCATAAACCAAAACTGCCTGGAAACTTAATGGGTCCTGTAAAATATCTGACTCTTGGAAGTGATCACTCTTACATGGTTGTAAGTAAGCCTATATCAATATAAGCAAACAATGCTAAAAATAAAAAAAACCCCACAAAAATAAAAAGAAATAATTTTCTTTCAATTACATCCAAACTTTACCTAAATAAGAAGCAAGCGGTTCATTCCTTTTGGTAGACTCAACATTAAAGGTCGTGTTTTGGGGGATTATGATTTGATTAGCCTTCTGCATGACGACTGTTCCATTCCAATCATAGGCTCCTACTGCTCCAAGCATGACCCAATCCTTACATCCAAATAGAGAAAACAATATTTAACAAAAATAGTAAGAGCAAACACTTACATAGCATTAACAATGTGATAGGTACTATTCAAAGCACTTTACATATATTAACTCATATAATCCTCACAATAACCCTTTGGGCTAGATGCCATTATTATCATCCCCTTTGTACAGAAGAGGAAACTGAGGCAGAGTAAATAACTTGCCCTAGGTTATACAGTAAAATTGCACACTGAAATGTCAATATTCCTTTGCAAGGATTATGATGCTTTTTCTTCCGTCAACTATAAATGATATATTTTCTAAACTTGTCTTTCTGCTTTATTCTGGGTACCAAGAATGCTAGGTCTTGAACACGGAATTTTAGTAGGATCCTTGAATATCCTGACACTGAGAAATAGATATATTCCATAGCATTAGCAAATATTTTAAATTAAGTATATCATTTAGCCAGATAGATAATTACAGAAGGCAAACTTCAAACCACCTGATTCACAATTATTAGTAGAATGTAGTCAACTGTATGAAATAACATGTTTTCCTAATAAGAAGCTTGTGAACTGCCATTTTCTTACTTGGATTAGAAACATCTTCATGGTTTGAATAACTGCTCAAGCCATAAACTGCTAGTTGCATTTATAATACTGATTCCTGGGTGCTGGTTTGGGGAGAATAAACCTCAAAAAAAAGGTATTTCAGGGATAATTCGGCACAGGTGTGTGGTGATGGGTTGTAATTAGTATTTGGGTGGTGAACATGATGTAATCTATGCAGAAATACAAGTATAATGTACACCTGAAATTTATACATGTTATAAACCAATGTCACTGCAATAAACAAAAAATTAAAAAAAAAAAAAGGTATTTCATTTTCTACCTAGTAGTCAATGTACCTGTGAATAATGAGCGCTGAAGCCGGTCTGAGACATTTCCATTTCAAATGAAGCTGCTGACTGGTCCACTGTGGCTGTAACAGAGAAATAAACGTCTTTTAGCATACTGCTGATTTGCAGAAGACAGAGACCTGGTACAGTCTGTGGTCTTGACCAACCAGAACTTCTAACATCTTTAGGGCATTTTCAGCCACATATTTCTCAACCCAAAATTCCTAGGTAGGGCTGAGGAGACGACAGAGAAGGTTAGTGGAAGGGCTGTCTCAGATTCTTGACCCTTAGCTTCCCCACCCTTGCTGGAAGAGCTGGAAAATCTCCACTTCTGCTTCTGTTCTTATACTCTAGCGTGCTCGTGGATCCTAGGGGGCTGTGGATCCATGTGGTTGAAGTTGAAAGTTCTGTAGTTGGAAACCTCTGTCTCATCCTTACACCCTGAGAATCTTGCTGACACATTCCCTGATATGTTACAGGGCTGAAAAAAAGTCATTCGCATATTTAAAGAGGTTTCTCCACTCTGCCAGCCCCACTCTTATATCTGGCTGTAGATCCTCTCAGAATTCCATTGTTGTTAAAGGGTGTAGGGATTCTGGGGTTTTGCTCTAATTTCTGGCTGTGGGTGTCACTCACAAATCAGGAGGGGACTTTTGGACAGAGATCCAGGCCACATGCCATTCAATCACATATTTTTTTAAGACTCTGTACCCATTTTGAAGCTCTTCACTGAAATGTGGAGATAATCCAGAGCATTCTATGGAAACACGCTACTCTCAAAACATTCACCAAACCAGAGCCACAGCCTCCTGAGGGGATTGAGGGAATGTTGATTTATTTGTCTTCAGTAGGGAGTTACTGATTTATTTGGCCTGCAAATAAGTTAAAAATAGCACATAATTTTAAGAAACTCAGTCTGCCCTTTCATTGAGGCATGAGAATAATTAAATCTGTGAAATCAAACTTAGTTACTGGAATAAATTTGTTAACAAATACATCAGTGATTGCCTTTTTACAGGACTAGATTAAGTGGGGCAATCCATCAAGAATTCAAATATATCATCTTAAACTCACATGCAATTGCCCTCTAATTTAAATGACTGAGATGCACTTTAATTTAAACCTTTCTTTTAAGTCCACAATGCTTTAAGGTGCTTTCTCAAGTGTCTTTGCAAGATTTGTTATCAGAATGCAGCAGCAAAGACCTGCCTATTTCCAACACCTTCAGCTGCTCCTGGTCTGCTTAGAGCTGACAACAGAGAGAAGGAAGATGTGACATTCCGTCTGTTGAATTGGCGTCAGTTTACAGCACACTGTACATCCCTAAACTTCTTGCTGTCGACTCCCCCCTGGACTGTTCATGACTATTGAGACAACCACTCTGATCACTGTGCAGTCTCTGATTAGGAATTTCAGCGGTTCTCCCAGTGCTTGATAGGAAAGGGAGACATTAGACCATTTTCTAACTTTATTGAGCAAGTTGCTGGCACGCTCACCTCCGTAGATGGCACTGCCCTTTGGCAGCAAGAATTTCATAATTGCTGCTATTTACTGTCTAAAGATAAATGTTGATAGGAAATGGGGCTTTTCCAAGTAACAAGGAAATGAAGCCCCTTCTGATCTCATTATGAAAAAAATCAGAAATCGGCTAGTCAAAACACTGCTTTTGGTTAGCCCTGAAAGTGCAGCAACAAAGATGTGGGAGACAATTTTAATCCGGAGAGTTCCTTATCAAAGAATTTCATTTTTAAATAAGGAGACTTCCTGAACTGTTTGGGCCCTCCAACACGTAACCTTTAACTCATGGTGTGCTTAGGTTAGAAAACATCTGAAAATGTCACTTAAGGCAAACTGATCTCCCCTTCCCCCAAAAGCTGATATAGGCTTCATTTCTACAAGTTTTAGGTTACATTTACTTGCTTAAGATGAGATTTAGAAATGAGACCGTATTGTGTTTAACTATCGAATGCAACTAAGTAATTTTTCTTTTAAATGATCTTTACAGATTGTTTCTATCATATCTTGGCCCATGTTATTAAAAATTAAAAGTGCACAATGACTTGGAAAACCTAATGCATTTCCTGAAGACCAGCTAAGTTCATGATCTGACCTATTAGTAAGTGATACTGGGATAGCTTTTGGGAGACCAAAGCCACTTAAAAGTGACTTGTACACAGAACATAGGAGAGCCAAGTTCTTCAGAAGCAGCTGCAACTTCAGACTGATAAATAATTCAAGTGTTCTGTTTCTAAAGGCACAGGGGAAAAGGAGCCAGGGCAAAAGGGAACTGGAGAAATTCAGTCTGGATGGGCTGTAGGTCCCCATCATCTCTAAATCAAACTTCCTACTTACTGTTGTGGTCCAGTCATGAAATCAACAGGGTGAGTTACAACCAGCATTAATTTTTTCTTTTTTTGGTGAGAAAGATTGGCCCTGAGCTAACATCTGTTGCCGATCTTCCTCTTTTTGCTTGAGGAAGATTGTCCCTGAGCTAACTTCTGTGCCAATCTTCCTCTATTTTGTATGTGGGATGCTGCCACAGCATGGCTTGATGAACAGTGTGTAAGTCCACGCCCAGGATCTGAACCCGCAAACCCTGGGCTGCAAAAGTGGAGCATGCAAACTTAACCACTATCTACCAGGCTGGCCCAGCATTTTTTTTAATTGAAAGAAAATAGAGTAGAACGGAAGAGATGAGAAACTATCAGAGTGCATTACACATAACAAGGGTTATTTTTGGAAATTTTGTTTTATTTTTATAGGTATACGTGTGTGTGCACTGGGTCATGTAGGGCCAGAAAAATTTTCACTTCTTTGCTTCTAGGTTTGTTGGCTGGTCTAATAATCAAATCAATGTAAGACAGATTGACAGGAGAAAAACAAATTTAATTTCATATGTATGGGAGCCCCAAAGATATGAGTCTCAAGGGTAAGTTGGGCAGTTAAGACTTTATGCCATCCTGAACTAAGGAATGGGATAGAGACCTGGGGCTTCAAAGGAGAGGAGGGTAACTCATAGGATGATAAGAAGAGCAGATGTCTGGTAATTATAAGTTTGCCCTGCCATGCAGATAGGTCTTTCAGATTAAAAAGTTATTGCTGTAATAGCTCTTTTTCTGGTACCAGCTCCCTATCTAAATTCTTTTGTGTGGCTAAGGGAGAGGTAAAAGTTTTTTCTGAGTCTTCTGGGTGTTGATTGCCTTTGGCTCAAAATAATCCACATGCCAAAGTGGCATATTTTGGGGTGGCGTATTCTGCTCCCCTTCAGTCACAAAGAAAAATTGATTTATTATCATGGGTCACTGCCAAAAAAAGTTTGAAAGCCATTACTCTAAATCATTTTCTTTCCTTTCTATACATTTTATTATTATTTTTATTTTTTTAATTTTCATTTATTTATTTATTTC